AGTAGCCTCCTTGACTTAATTATAGTATGCATTTGTTCACGAGAAAGTGCGGTACAGGTGCCAGGCATGTTGGGAAAAAGATATCTTCAACATCATAAAGATGAAAGTGTATGACATAAATTGGTTTATTTGTTTGTACAGGCCCACTTGACCCAGGCTTCCTGTTGAGGTTGAATCTACGCCTCTAACAAGGGCGACAGTGCCTGAACTGCCATTTTGTTTTTGTCCTACAGGTTTCTTACTTCGCGAAGGCTTCGTCTTCCGCACTTCAGTATCTTGCTCAAGTCTTTCACGAGTAAGTATATTTTCCGCTTCCTTGTATTGCTCAATCGTGGTGCAGCAAGCACATAAATCGCTTGGTGCACAATATCACAGATGACGAACGCTGTATATCAGTAAGATTGAGGCAAACCATTAGCTTAAAGTTAACTAACTTGGTGTGCATGTTAGGTCATGAAAGCGGTAAAATACCACAGCTGCGAAATGAAGCGCTGCAACCACCCCTCACCTACACTCACACCACACACGAGCTCAGCAATCTGCTGTGACTTGTGCAGGACATATTGCCATCCGACAGGACGGTCAGTCACCTGTCGCTGAAGGATCCAGTCTCTAATGCCATTTTCGGCACTCTTCGAAAGCATTGGAGGCGGCCCTCGGCGCTTGGGCTCGTGAGGATTGTTTCTGCGTGCAGTAGTCACGTATTTCTTCAGTGTTCTATGCGGTATTCTCGGTTATTTACTTGTTGCCTTTAGCTCTGCGCCGACGAGAACGGCTTGGACGGCACAATGGAGCTCTGCTTCGCTCTACTTGGCGCGTATTTTCCGCACGGTGGAGAAACGAAAGTGAGACCAGAGTACAGTATAAACTGCTGGAGGAGACCGGATGAAAGCTCGCTAGCTTAATATTAGCCAGTTATGATCGTTGACAGTGATCTAGCTTAATATAACAGGCTAAAACAATCGAGGCTACTAAACCGGTCGAGGCTACGAAACTGACACTTTGCCTTAAGCTACGAGACCATACAAAAAATCAGTGTGAGCTCGTAAACATCGAAAGTTTCCCAGCTGAACCGACTATCTATAGACCAGCTCAGAACACTATTCGATCAGTGCTATCAAAGTTTTCGATCAAGAATGCTGACCAGTACATCGATCACTTCATCGTTTACGCCTTTGAGGCTATTCTTAAATCTACCGTTACTCACCACGGTGAAAATACTGTCTTCACGAACGAGCATATTCCTGTGTCAGTATCAGTAGCTGATAGCTGAGGCGTTACGTTGCTTTATAAATGATAATCCAAAACTGTTGCTCACGGATATGTTTGAATACATCGGTAGTGTATCCGTGAAGATTCAACAGTACGATGTCGATATGTACAAGTCGCTTCTACAAAAAATCATTGATGCTTACGGCTTGACTGGTATGGCGATCCCTGGTGCTGTACTTGGTGAGACCTACAAGATGCCTGATGTGGACTGTTGGATTAAGGAAGAGAAAGTATGCCTGCTTCTTCGACTTCCATAGCATTTTCGGCTTAAGTAAGCAGCGGTCTGACTATAGTAAGGTTGAACATCAGCTTGACCAGTCTTCGAGCTCAACTCGGGTCGATACGATATCAACTTGATTAAGAAAGACTTGTTTGCTGTCATCGGTACCGACAACATTAAATCTGTCATCAAGAAGCCAAGCTACATGTGCATTGCTACATCGGATACGTAAATACTCGATATTAGAATCTATGTACCGGCTGGTACGAGCTACGATAAGTATCTTACAACGTATCTGGGTGGTTGCTAATGTGATGACAAAATTAGATGTATCTGTGGTTTGGCAAGGGTCTTTTCCTGTATGGGTACATCACCGCGTTCAATGTATTGAATCAGACTACAATTCCACCTAATGCAGCTTTTGATAGCAAGCTCCGTGGATCAAGTATTACCGCAGATGACTATAAGCCCATACAATTTGTCGGGTGGCGGGGGGGGGGGCAGCGTCAGCTAGCAAGAACGTCCACTGGCGTTCTTCAGCAGAAAGCTTAATGAAAACACGCAATGATGAAGCTTGAGTTGCTCTTCATTGTGGAAGTGCTTTGCGAGACCCGAAATGCTTTACTTGGGCACCGTGTTATTGTCTACACGAACCACAAGAACTTATCGCTCTCGAACTTTCAGTGATATGATATTGTGTAGATCGCTGGCGTCCTTTTGTGAAAGGGCTGGCATCGAGAGTTGTCTATATTAAGGCCAGAGCAACATTGTTGCCAATGCACTTAGCCACCTTCCTCAAAGCAAATATGCTGATAGCGAGGAGTGCTACGAAGTTGAACCAGATGGCGAGGACTTCCCGCTGGCTTTTGATGCTATCTTTGAGGCCTAAGAGACAGGCAAGCAATTGAAGCAGCAAGAACGTCAAGGTAGGCTTAAGGACCAATAACCAACAGAACGTCCGTTGCTGTGCAAGGACAAGAGCATTCTGATGTTAACCTTTTGCGTCGGCGGATTATTCGACGGTATCACCAATAGCTCAAGCATCCCGGTATGGCAAATCGGACGATCCACCAGCACTTCATCTGGTCGAAAATCAAGCATGCGATTTAAAGGCTCGTCAATCGCTGCGGAACCTGTCAGAATTGGAAACGGAACATAAAGAAACGCGGTAAATTACCTGCTACAAAGCCTGTGACCCAGACGTGGAAGATGGTGTGAGTCGACAAATTCGGTCCTTATACGCACCCAAGACCTGACAAGAAGTTTAGATCATTAGCCACGATTGATTCTGCAACTAGTGGATTTTACGTTGCGTCGGCACCGGAAAAAGGGAGCAAAAACTACATGGGCAAAGAGTGGTCCTGCAGATACCTGCACCGAGAATACTGTATTTCCGGACAAGGCAACGCGTATTCCATTTAGCCTTGAAGAGCTACGGCGTGCCACTCTATAATTTTTCTTCCAGTTATTAACAAAGCGCATGTTTTATACCATGTCACGACCAAAGAAAAGCTACATTGGAGCAGACGATCAACAATTTCGCTGCCACGTTCCATTCCGAGCCGCCGTAAAAGCGAATACCGTACCTCAAACGGCGTAGTTTTCTAAAACGCATAGAATATCGCTCTGATAGTTGAGGTGGTTGTTCGTCATAGTTGATAAGTATTGCTAAGCGGATTTCTAAGAATGCATCATGGATTTGCTTAGGTTAGCTACCGCTGTGCTCTCCTTGGGATTGACGAGTAGTACTAGCTTAACAAATACATCAGTTTCAAACTTATCCGGTAAAGCATACGGCACGTACAGCATCAAACGGTGGGTCTGACTTTAGGCGCTCGTGATGTTTCGCCGGTGATTCCTCACCACGCATTCAACGGAGAGCGCGGGAAACGTAACACGAACGACTTACGTCCGTACTAGCTGTCGACGAAGAACCCCTCGAAGGATACCACATGCAACGGTGATGCCACATCATTGTTTGTATATAGGTGACGTAGTCTAGTTCCATCTTGACACGAACCAGCTGAATTATAGCGACTTAAACCCGCGTCTTGTTGTGAATGGACAAAAGGCCTTGTAGTGGACGGTCAAAACCCGCGTCAAGTAAGTATAGCGCATTCCGTACCGGATACCCAACGTGGTTAGCTGCCACTCTGCTGTGGCGTGTTTGGTCGATTGTCTAGTCTATCCTTCTCACTTATATACCCGTGTATGGATTTTCGTTCCACAACGATACACATACCGATATACCGAACCAGTTAACTAAAAGCACAGACCACAAAGGTCACAAAAGCTTCGCGCTTGAGCATTGCCCGCCCCTGCTCCGCCGCCGCACAATCCGCTTGTTAATATGACGTGTGATGGTTATTAATAGCAACTCCCACGGACAGAAAACATTTCGATGTCCAGTATTTTTGCAAGATTTCTTTTAGAGCTTAATCTTCACGGCATGTAGTTTTAAGATCCAGTGTGTTAAAGTATTGTGAAGGACCCAGCTCCTTTTGCGAAGCACTAGCGCTTGGCATTGGCTGATAATATCTCGTGCTGAGCTAGGGGACTGGGACAACACTCTTGAATTAGATAATCCACACTGTTTCCACTCTTTGAAAGGAAAATCGACGATGTCAAACTCTCTACGTATGTATGTACAGCTAAACTTTGATCGTACGCCACATCGTGTTCACCGTACCGAACGTAAGCTTGCATCCTTAACTCAAAAAGAGCAACAATTGTGATAAGCTCACAAGACGCTTTGACAAAAGGATCGCTATTCTTAATGTTTTCATGCATGTAAATAATCATCTCCTGCTGCCGTTACAAAGCTGCAGCATCTGCTCTATACACTACCAAAGACCTGCTGCCGATCGTTCCTTTTTGTTATTGTCAGCCCTGCTCACTCATGCTCGCACGACTCTCTCACTGCTGCGCCGGTCTCGTATGCTCTCCGTTTGGTGTGTGTTTTAAACGTTTAGAGAAAAGAGCCATAAGTAGCAGGGATCTTCACATAAATCGAAACCGGTCGCTTGACCAGGTCATATTGACGGCGTCAACCAACATGAAACTTTCGAACCATTTTACGTTACCCAGAATTTACGATATTTTTGCAACCTATTGATTATTTGCAACCAGTGGTTTATAAAAAGTCTGCAGCACTAGCAATATTAATCCTGGCCTTACCAAAATGGTACAAGCTGTAGGTTTTTTGCAAAAGAAGGTGAATGGATATCTTAGCTGTTACTGAAACTAAGATGTTTTCATCAACCCTACCGCAATCTGGTACTCTGCAATTCTGCGAGCTTAATTCAGCCAATCGTAAGGGAATAAACATCAGCAAAGAAACCGAACTATTGCCTCCCACGTATCTCTAAGCATTTTGTCTCAATTCATTTTACACGACAAGCTCGCGCTAATGAGAAAGGACCGACAGGTGTTGCGTGCGAGCGATATTAATCGCTTCTTTCTTCTCATGTGGCGGGTGCTAAGGCACGCTAGTCGGCGATACCGACAGATGCTGCGTGCGAGCGATAGAGATCGCCTCTATCTTCTCGTGAGGCGGGTGTCAGGGTACAATACATAGCTCGGAGATTTTCGATGATCAGCGAGGCTCGGACCTTTGCGGATATCAGCGAGGCTTGCACTCTTCACGACTGATAGGTACACTAAGATGGACTTGACAAGATCGGTTGGCTCCATACCAACGCCGATTTGTCACTCCATTGTATCGGAAGGCTGGTTGCGCGTCTGCATAATTATTTACTGACTGTTTAATCGATGAACCTTTTCATTGCAGCCTCGAGGAGCAGCCACCTGTTCGAAATGGAGAAAGAGGCGCTGCCGATGCCTTAAAGTTTTGACCGTGTGCAATTCATGTAAATGCCGCCTAGCGTATCCTTACGATAACGTTCAAAGCACTGATAGCGCTAACTAGATTGCAGTGGCGCGCCCAGATCAAGACCGCTTTGGCCGTCGTATTTCCTGTTGTCAGTGCGATGTTATGGTGGAAGACGACGACGACAAGGATGATGAATAGGTGCAGCGATCATGGAAATCTGGCTGCTTTGGCTCGCTTTCCTTGATACCGAGCCAGATTCTACGAATCGCAGACGATGGTATGCTACTAGCAAAATTTGCTCAGGATTCCGAAATGTATGCTATAAGAGCTCGGTTAGGTCGCCGCTGAGGAAAGGCGACGCGTAATGCATGTGAAGATATTACTTAGTATTCTATAATAAAAGTTTAGAAAAAAAGCATAGCTAACGCGAAGAACTCCTACGTAACTGTGCTGTTCGATGGTTGTGATGTGCAATTTGTGCTTGCAGGCCTTCGCTCTTTCCACTCCCTTAAAGCTGTGGCTTGGGCTTTATAAATCGGAGAACTTCTCTTCAAGTTACCGTCAACCGTGTAAAGACCCTTGGGAAAGTAGAAAAATGAACTTTTTGCCAGCAAGACCACCGCTTTTCCTGACATAGATGATACTTCGCAGGGTCCACTGGATATTCGCGCTTGCAGAGAGCGACATGGTGCGTCTCGCAGTAGTCGTTTTTTTTAGTCGCCTTCCGACACTCAAACTTGTAAATGGAGCATTCTCGCATTGACCTGCTCCTTCCATATAGCAAAATGCACGACTCCCGAGAGACACACGTCTGTGGGTGGACTGCGTCTGCTGATAGCTTACTCGTATCGGTTCGAGTGTCATTTGCTTGAGCTGTTGCCGAACTGGGCGTACTCGCTGCATACACTATTCCAGCTTCTCTATCAATCCATTTCTTCCAAGAACCATTGACTAACTCACGCACAAGAGATACGAAGAACGCTCGGTGCCGGTCACGACAGGCCGGTGTGGGGTTGGCGGCACAGGTCTGTGAGGCGTCATCGCTCGTTGGGCTCTTACCGCGCGCTCATTCGTCGCAGATACACGCGTTGCACTTGCCAATATCAAGCATTGCCATAGCTAGTTTTTTATGCCACTTCTTGACAGGGTGGCCTCCGGCGAGAGAGAACCTTCCACGTAGTTGGTCGTGGTGGTCGACGCCTTGCATTGCTGAGTTATATATACTAACACAGGTCGGAGCTTTAAATGCTTCTTTCGTTGCTTGGATGCGTTGGTACACTGTTGAAGAGGTAGACGCGTCAGCGCTGGATACGATATTGACGATAGAGCCATCAATCCAGCTAGCAGCAACAATATAATATGGAAAACAACCCCCTTGCTTCATGAACCCTCTTGGTTTTGAGTCACCTTGCTGAATCATTGTAAAATGGGGGAAATCCTTACTGGATGCCCGCACTGTTCCACGACCATACAGTCCAATTGCTCTGAGGCTTTCCAAAAGTCGACACGAATTATAGAAATTGTCTGTATTGACAATTCTTCGCGATCCTTGCAGTGATGCCGTGACTTCAATGACGTGCGGGCGAATATCGGATGACAGTTTTGTGAGCTATTGTAGCTCTCGTATTTCAGCTCCTGGTACAACCCCATGCAGGCGGTCTTGGAGCTCACTGGCACAGTGCAATTTGAAGCCAACATAACACGACGTTGAACAGCAACAAGCGTAAAGCTTGAAATGATACTTGCCACTAGGCTTACGAGGGTTGTAAGCTATAACGTGACGGGCATACTGTGACCTGCAAGCAATTCTGGCTTCATCGACAGCGGCATTTCGACCGACAATCACATGACGCGTGCAACGTGACGTGATAATATTAATGAGAGGCCGTATTCGTGCAGCAGGATCTCGCTGGATGTCGGATGTCGTAACTTGCGATCGAAAACATACGTTTTTTCAAATGTAAAGAAATCGTTTCCAAGTCATCACACACTCCAAACATGTTGAGCGAGCTCCAGGAAAAATGCTTGCTTCATCATTATCAAGCCAATAATGTATCATCTCCCCCTATCGAGGAGAGCCATGTACCACAAAATCCCCAGAAACTTCATGAGATTATCTAAATCCACACTTCGACGTGATGGGGAGCCACTGGCTTCGGCATATTCATTCGTAAAAACTACGACTTGGTTCCAGAAAGACAGAGATGTAAGCGCAAAAAAAACTAGAGGTAGCAGAGTGACCAAACAACCCACGACTTTCATCTCGTAGTACGGTTGCCAGCAAGCCGTCATGCTGTGAATACAAACCAAGTGGTTCTACTTGAAAGGCAGTTGAAGAAAAAGTCATGGCTTCGATAGCTTCGACTTCCGTGAGGTTTATCGGGATCTGAAGTCCCCTTTGTCCCCGAAACGTAGCCCACTCGCGATATTCCAGCTCTTCCACTTCTTTAAAATTTTCAGTTAATGCTGGCAGATTGGAAAATTGGGAGCCATAGTACATAGGGATGTCCATGATTCGCCCACCCGTAGTTTGTTCTTCTGCATTTTTGCAAATTGGCAGATCCCTTGAACGAGAACGTTTTCTACGATGTCGTGCACGTGCTCCCGTGTCTGGTATTTAGTGTTTATCCATCTCTGCTGAAATCGTACTGACGGAAGTTGATGTTATCGTCATTGCTTACGTTCTCCACTTTTTATCGCGTGACAATACCCACCAAAAACGCAGCACCAGCATCACGGTATCGAGATCGTGGCACCCACGTTTCCTCAGCAGGAGAAAAAGCAACGTGTTTGCATCAATAAACGTGACTGCTGATTTCCGCGCTCTACGCTCTAACTCATCGCGCATGTCTGTAACAGCTTTACTTTTTGTTTTTCTCACGCAAGCATTGTTTTGTTTGGCAGTCTTGTTCTTCTTGTTCAGCGCTGGCGAGTGTTTGGCATTTGGAGCAGCTTTTGCTTTGTCGTTTTTGACCCGTCTGGCGTTGACTTGAGTCCGACCGAGTACGTTTTGAATATGGTCTCGTAGACGATGTACTGTTTGAACTAGGAGCGGCAAGTGCCAATGTGGAAGTAAGAACGCCGTTATCGGTTCCAGCAGCATCCAATGAAATTGTAGATACAACATCACCCTTACTGTGGATTCCATCCAAATCTACATCAGTTTACAGTGATTACGTTTAGGTAGCACTGCTTGCTGCAATCGCAGCTATCACCAAAATTTTCCATGAGTTTGCCGTTTGCACCACGAATATTCAGTGACTTGCACACGTCGTAAGATCAAACGTGATGCATTGGTTTTTTACACCTTGAGCACTTGCGATATAAAGAGCATGTTAAGCTGCAAACAGCACACTTAAAACCCACAAAACGACTTGCAACGTCCGGGCTCGGGGCTGTGTCCAATAAATCAGGCGTCGATTGGTTCGAAAGATCACCCGTGTCGGTGACCACAGAGTCCTGTTTATCAAGCGCTCTATGATCCCTATTGCCACCAGAAAAACCATTACGTAGACAAACCGTGTCGCTACGGTCATTTTCTTCTGTCAGAGCGGCAATCCTAATAACATTTCGGCTACGGTTGTGTGCAGTGTAATCCTAAACTTCTGTCGCAGTTACTGTCCTCTCCATTATCACTGATGCAGGGTGAATCACCTTCGCCACATTTTCTACGTAATGATACACACGCGTCCAACATGGTGTTGGATCTTTTGAATCCAATGTATGTCTGTTGGTAGTGCGCGATAAGCGCTTGCTCTACTAAGAAGTAGTCCACACCATTCCGTCCGTCTGGGCTCTCTCCGGGGCGTATGTATCGATATTGATGGGATAGACGGCGGGCCGGTGGAGGCTTGGCCACCCAGCCATCCTGACGAAGAATTCGCCAGACCGATTTGAAAACGGATCGGTCTTCTGGCATATGTATACGAAGTAGGAAAGTGAGAAACAAATTGAAAAAGAGCTGTTCACATATCTCGTACCATGAGCGAGCAACTTGGACCTAGTGTGTTTCGAACTACGAGTCGCTCGTAAGCTATCGATTATTTTACAGTTATTCTGCCCCGCTTGCGTCATTCCTTTATGGCTACCAGGCTTGCGACTTTCTCGCTAGGTCCTCGACGCCAAATGCTTGAGTGAAAGCTGCTGAAATGTTGCCTTACTGCATGGCACTTTAGTGGACAAAATATATAGAACTTTGCAAGAACCAGAATGGATCGCGCAAGACCGCGCCCTTTGGGCTTCTCAGAAGTGCGAAGTTAGAAAGAAATAGCTCAGTATATCCAAAGCTTCATACATTGCTACTCGTATGAGTGCCGGAGCCACCCCAGAAGATATCTGAAGACTTTACAAGTACCTCAACGGAAAAGCACGACAACGATAGGAAGTTAATCAAGCGCTATAGATTTCAAGCCGAGCTGTACTAAAAAATCGTTTAGCTATGTACAATAGTACAGCTTCAACACAATCGTCTCCTACGCGCGAGGCGATATATCGTTGTCCTCGCAGCTTCAACAGCGCGCCAATGGTGCCTCGGGTCGGTCGTTAAAACCGTCATGCACTCGCATAGCTACCAACGTTTCGTGATGGTCGTCGTACCAACGAAGCAAATCAGCTCATGTGCAGCTACTATGGCGGAGCGGGGAGTCGCATCTGGGAAATTCACCAGCAACTATGCAGAGAAGGCTGGTGACGCTTTTTAGCTCGGTTCAATACGTCATAATGACGTCCATATACCCGTCATCGCTGTCAACAGAATACTGGGATCGATTTTGATCTTGTTGACGGGATACTCCCGGACTGCATGATATTGAGTTAGTAAGGGTAGCATCATGGACGTGGGTACACTTTTGTTGGGTTGAGCGAAGCGTGGCATTGTGACACCAAGCCGATCGTTCGTGTTGACTTCTGTGCGGTACGACGACTGCACGGAGAACGACACATACATGGCGTATGAGACGTGCACACATTGCACGCTTCCACGCAGGCCGCCGCCAAAAATGCCGACATACACGCGAACGGCCCCATCGACGCTAACGGGTTTTCCAAATCAGCGACGACATCGGCGCCATGATATCCGGCGAGGCCGTCGCCACGTCCAACAAGGTCGGCGCTGTAGAGCTACTCGACACCACCGCGGACCCCGGCAACACTAACGGGACGGTAGGGTACGCTTGCCACCAACTCGACTTAAGCGTACG